TACATTGCGTTGAGAATGATCTGATGCCCAGCTCTCGACAGAGAGCTGGTGGCAACACCTGCCCCGCTTAGGCGCGGCAGATTCTGATGTTGCTTTAACTGGCTCAGATCCTCTTTCTCCGCCCGCCCGTGTCTCATTCTTCTCCGCCCTCGAGTGCCGAAGCGTTTTTTGGGGGCGCACCGAGGGGGCACCAAAACGTGCTTGGCGAAGAAATTGGGGCCTTGGGTGTTCCTTCTCACCTTGCCTTGCAGCTGAAGCTATGCAGATCTTACGTTCAGCTGCCTGACAGAATTGAGGATTAGAGGAGTAAAAGGGTGACGGGACCTTTTCCTCTGTTCCCGAGTCCTACCCTCACGGGCGGGATTCGGGACGGGGGGGTGAATAGAACCCGTGTAATACCTTCATATATACTCCTTATCATCACCTCTTTTGCGCCTGGCCGTTTGGGCTCAGGCATTGGGACATATCGATCGGACCTTTGATCGTGCAGGAGGGAAAGACATCCATCTATCCCTCCTTCCCTCTACCAACGGATCAGGGGTTCTGTACCCTTGTACTTCAACCCCATTCACAGGGGGTGGCAGCGCGGATCCAAGAAGGCCGCGCGGAGCGCCAAAAGTGCATGTTTGTGCCGTTGATGTTTTCCGTCCTCCAGTCGCGGGTGCGACGCGCCGGAGCCATGCTGGGGCGCGGGGTTGCAGTCTCGGGCGGCGCGGGCGGCGGTGCCCCTGCAGAGGGGTCTTCCGCAGAATGCGTTCATACTTCAGTCGGGCACGTCCCTCCACAGGAGGAGTAGGCAAGAATAGTCCAACAGTCGTCTGGGGACGATGTTTTGGTGGTTTTCGCCGCATGTTTCCAATATTTGTTGACTGCTTCTCATTTATCGTCCAAGTTCCGCCTGTAGGAAGACATGCCCGACCCTTAGTGGGCCCCGGACAAGGCAGGGCCGTTTTTTTCACCGTTTCCGAAAAAGTGTCTTTTGAGAATGAAGACCAACGGCGACCGGAAACGGCAACAAAAACGGCTCCAGGATTGGAATCAGAGCGGGAACCCGTGAAATAATTGCGACGGAACCGGTGAAACAACGGCGTCGGAACCGGCAAAACAACAGCAAAACGGAACCGGTAACAAAAACGGCTCTGTCGCTTCCAGAGCCCATTCAGGCCCGACCTGTGCTGATACACCACCACCATCCCTGACCAGGGCCAGCATTGGCCCTGGGATGCTGTATAGACCAGGGCTGGACCTAAACAGTGTTTTGCTGGACTTCAGCTGTGTTCGTTTTTCTTTTTTGCAGGGAGGTTCAGGAAAACAGATCGAGCAAAACGACAAACAACACGAGCACAAAACGAAAAACAACGTTTAAGTCTAGCCCTGGTGTAGACCCTTATGGCCTAGGCCAGCAATTCTTGTATACACCGTGCCTGGGCTGAGGATGGCCCTGGCCCTGGCACGGTGGTGGTGCTCAGACGCCTTCTGCGCATGTCCGCACTCTCCCGCTTAGTGTTCCCTGGAAACGACAGGGCCGTTTTTGTTTCCGGTTCTGTTTTGCCGTTTTTGTTGCTGGTTCCGACGTTTGTTATTTGTTCCGTCGCCGTTTTAATTTTTGGTTCCGGCTCCTATTCCAATCCTGAACCCGTTTGTTTTGCCATTCCCATTTTCAAGAGACATTGTTTTGGAAGCTGTAAAAAAGAACGGCCCTGCCGTTTCCGGGCCCCCCTTCAGGTCAGTACTCTCCCGTGTGATCGGAGTCAGTACGGGAAGAGTTGGTATGAAGATAGGGGGCAAATCTTGATCATTTTGACCAGGACCTGCTGTCGGTGACGCCGCGGACGTCGTTCATGTGAGACAGAAGGCCGCCTGCCCAACAACGACCGTGGCCGGTTTGGGACCACATCTGATGTCGGCATCGTACGCATTTGTTTTTGTACCCATTTTTTGACGTCCTAACGCATGAGGCGTTCCAGAAAGGGCACTGGACTTCGAGGATCGAAGGAGTTGCCATCTCTGCCTCGGCGAAAGGCGGCGGAAGGTTTCGAAAGCAGCTCGAGGGCGGCTCCGACGGCGGAAGCCAGCAGAAGCTCGGCGGAAAGCGGCGGAAGTAAGAGATGTGTTCCCAAGGGTTGGTACATTTGGGCGTCTCAGAGTTCCCAGAATCGTCCACATGGATCAGCGCCCGTGGATCAGCGATGGGCTCCGGCTCCGTGCGGATTCGACCAACAGGAGCTTCTGTTCGAGTAAGAGATCGTTGACATAGTTGATTTGTAACAGAATTTATTCCGTCGAATCTACGATAATTGCGTCGAATGCTTGTAGATCTACATCCATTCGACGCATTTGTCTCGTAGTTTCGACGGGAATTCCAGTTCTGGGGTAAATCAATTCAGTAGTCGATTCCCTACTCGACGTGTCCATTCAGAACTCGACCCCTGTCGTATCCAGGACGCTGCTCCGTCGAGACCCGCGGCCGCTCGTTTTGGATTACATTTCTCGTCTGTGCCTTGCGGCCGGCGAAGGGGCGGCCTGGGAGCGTCCACGAATTGGGAGGAAGGAAAAGCGTCACCAACACCACAAGAGGGGGCCACCTCCAGCGAGGAGGTCCACGATGTTTCGCCGAGCTGGAGGCCGGGGATGTCTCGAGCGAGAGGGGGGGACCACACGACCACACCAGGGAGTCTCCCCTTGCTCCTCGCATCTCCTCGCCCTGGTGGTGTCGGTGTCGCCTTTCGTTAGGAGGAGGCTGTGCTGATACGGGCTCCGGCACGTGGATTTTCGCCACGGGCCCCGATGCCGTTCCAGAGCGGCGCGAAATCCATCGCCAGACCGGCCGGCCCCCTGCCGGCCCTCTGAGTTCCATGTTCTGGGGGCACCGATGCCTCACCCTCCTGTGGATCTGCGGCCCGCGTGCCAGATCCACGGAGCCGTAGTCGAAGAACCAAACAACGGCATAAGCATAAGCCCGGCACGTCCCTCTACAGGAGGAGTAGGCAAAGTAGTGCAAACATCGTTTCGGGACGATTTTTTATAATGTTTGTTTTGATTTGTTGTGACTATTTGTTTTGCAAATGATTGATTCTCAATCCAAAAACCGCCTGTAAGGGGACACGCCCGACCAAAGCATAAGCATGATCTTTCGGAGCTCCGCGCGGATTTCTTGGATCTGCGCTGGGCCTCCCTGGCGGCGCTTCCGGCGCCGCCCCTGGCGCGCTCCGCTCTGCGCTCCAGGGAGGGGGGTTCAGCGCAGATCCAAAAACTCCTGGCGGAGCGCCGAAAGTTCATGTTTGCGGCGTCTCTTCCCCTTCGGAGATCCATGGAGCCGTAGTCCATGTCAGCGTGCGCTCGAGGAGTGTACGACCGAACCTGTTAAGAGAAGTTATTCCCGAACCTGGCAAACCAGGCAGTGGCAGGGAGGGTAGGGCCTTGATTTTTTCGAAAAGTGTACATGCGAGCGACCTTTCATCCGATGCTTCTGTGCAGTGCCATTTCGGCTGAAGAGCCCCTGGAGTGCGAAAGCTAGCTGCGCTTGGCACACAAAACACATAAGCATCCGAGCAGGCTTGATCGTCCTTTCGATCGGGGGAGGAGGAGCTCTGCGGCGAGGGTGGGGGGTGCCCTGCGGCTCTGGCGTCGCAGCTCGTGTCGCATTGGGCAGCTCCGCCGCATGCCGAGCCAGGGCCCCTCGCGGGTCGATCTGGCCAGAGAGATGCCGCTCTCGAAGGAGGGTCCTCGTTGCCTCCCTGGGTGCCAGCGTCAAGTCGGGCGTGTCCCTCTACAGGAGGGATATCCCAAAAGCGTCAAACAAATTGTATGGGGACGAAATTTGACTATGTTGAGTCATGCTTTTGAATCTCTTTGGGGCTATTATTAATTGTTCGCCCAAGCTCCGCCTATATGGGGGCGCGCCCGACCTCATGGTAGTCGCGGATCCTGGAGAGGTCTCTTCTTTGGAGGGCCAACACATGCAAGTACCATACTGTCCCCATCTCTGCATGTCGGCGCTCTCCAGTAGAGAACTCCCCCCCTTCCCCTCCTCACTTCCCAGGAGGGAAAGAAACAGGCAGACACAATGATTCGTCGACTCCCATGAAAATATTGGGGGGAAATATTGGAAGTGGGGGGGGGGGAGACACAAATCCAGAACATATGGGGAAATATCGGTAAACATTGTAGTTGTGTTTATTTATTTGTGTCTTTGGGCCCCTTCAGTAAAGAACTCCCCCCCCCTTCTCTCCACCAGGCCTGGGCCTGGCCAGGCACTTCGATTTGCAGATAGCCTTGCAAGTATTGCCTATTGTTTCTAAGCTTGACATCTTCTCATGGCGCGAACATCGCAGAGCGGATTTCGTTTGGAAAACGATTGGGTGGGCCCGGGGTGTCCTGGATAAGTTCGTTCAGGATTTCGAAGTGAATGTCGTGCGGAATTCTGTTGGCCAGGGATGAAGACCAAAGATAATCCCCGCGAAATTCACAGCGTTTTTCGCTCGCCGCTTCGGGCAAACATCGACGCAGAGGTCCACGCAGAAATCCGCTGCAGCACGTCTTCAAGGCCTTTGCAATGAATCTTCAACAGTTGCACGGATGGGTCGCCGGTCGGTTTTCTACATGCGGTTCTCGCTAAAGTGCCGCGCGCATTCGCACATAAAGTTGTGAAGCGATAGGGGCACAGAGGGCATGCGCTTGTTTTGTTGTGTGCCTCTGGATTCGTCGCCGTGCGCATTTGATCAATCAGGTTTACGCAGGTACACGGATGGAAAGCTGGAGTTTTAAACGTTGTATTTGTTGAAGACATGTCCGGGCGGGACTAGGGACAGGAATGTGTAGCGTTGCATCGTTCTCGCATTTTCGGATTTCTCAAGTCTCGTCCCCTTCCTGCTTCTGATCGTCTGTCGTCGTCCTCGCCGCCGTCGTCACATTCGCCGCTTCCGCCGCGATCGTCGTCCAGTTCGTTGTCGTGCGTGTAGCGGCCGTCGTTGTCGCCGTCGTCGTTCCCGCCGCGGCAGGCCGTATCGCGACGTCGACCCAGACCCGGCCGTGTTCCGGCGCGGAGCGGACGTCAGGCTTCAGCTCAATTCCCCCGAGCTTCAACGGCAGCCGCCTGAGGATGGCGGGAGGCTCGACGACGACGGTGACGACGATCGAGAATCAATATTTTTGGGCGATAGCTGCTTTTTATTATCGGCCCTGGAAGGTCTCCCTGGGGCTTCAGAGGAGCTGGACGAGGGCGACCGTGAACCCTGGATTGCATCCGGGAGGGGATACCCCAGGGTAGGAAAAGATGACTAGAAGGAGGCGGGAAGGCGAACCTTGACCCTCCCTTGTCCTCCTCCTCCTCCTCCCCCTTCTCCGCCTCCAGTTTTAGCTCGAAAGCCCTGGGTGCGCCAGCCAGGCTGGCGCGAGCTCTCGCGCTGAGACTAGCGCGATTCCGCGCGAATCTGCCCACCACCACCGCGGCCTCCGCGATCGCCAGCGGGCGCGGCTGCTCCTGGCGGCGTGGGTTGGCAAAGACAGCGTGAGACTGCAGCAGCGATTGGCAGAGGGCGCCTGGCTACTTGATGGTCACCACGACTGTTCTTCAGGCCAGATGGTGCCGAAGCCAGATGATCCAGAGCAGGCTCGATTTCTCAAATGGGCCACGTGAGCCGACATGGGGATGCCCAAGCTGTGGCAGGATCGCGAGCTGGGCGTGCTGCGTCGTCCGCAGCTGCGGGGAGGCAAAAACAGAAATTCGCAAAGTACGAGAAGGATCTGACACTGGCGCGACCTCCCTGTCGATCGGCAGGGGGTGCTTGACTTCGTCTCGAACAAACTACATCGTCGCAAAAGGCGAAAGAATTCCAGAAGCTCCAGCATCAATTCAAGCAGCTCGTGGCTGAGATCAAGAAGCTCAAGCTCGCGCAAGTCCAAAAATCGCAAGAGGCGATGGAGGCCGATGGGGGTGATGGTGCAGAGACGGCGCACGAGCAATCCTCGTTCTCGCAGCGAACGGAGCCGCAAGCCAAAGTCAACATGTACGAGCAGCCGATCAATATTTACACGGACATCGGTGACACGGAGTTGGTCGAGAGCACGCGCGTCAGGCTGGAGGCGGTCAGGCTGCACCCCCCGCCTGCCACGGCCCACATGCAGTGCTCCCAGGAGCTCGAGCGAGTCCAGGAGCAGATCTCCGCTGCGAAGGGTGACGTTGAGTCGCTGGAGCAGACGTTGGCGAAGGTGCTGAGCTACCTGGAGGCAAAGCAGCAGGAAGAGGCCTTACTCAGCAAAGAGGTGGTGGAGCACGCGGCGCGGCAAAACTCAAATGCGGCAAGGCATTTGGGGAGTTCGTGACGTGCCAGAGGACGTCTTGCAGTTCGACCCCGAGAGTTGCGAACTCAAGGGCGACCCAGTTCTAGCAGTCCTTCAGCACCAACCAGTCTTTCGGCAAGATGAATGCGATCTACAGGCAGACCATGGCGGCCCAGATTCCCAAGGCACGTGATCCTGCACTTGCTGCTGATGACGCACCTGCTCCCCAGCTGACGGAGCCGCTTGGGGGTCAGGACCTGCCAACCGCGCCGGCACCAAGCGGGCGCCGACTCATGCGGGAGAAGGCCGACGTCGAGAAACTACACAGATCCTTCTTCCAGGATGGCGACGCTTCCGAGGTCAGGAAAGGCTGGCTGAGATGGTCCAGAATATCCATGACGCCAAGCATCGACGGCTTGATGGAGGCAACGTTGCACGCGCAGTGGGTGGAACAGGATGCGTTTGACGAGCGCGTGGATGTGCGATGGGCCCCTGAGGTCAGCGGATTGGAATTGAAGCGGAGACGCTCCACGACAGTGCCAATGCCATCAAGGGCCTCAGGGCCGCACTTGGTTGATGCGCACAATGCGAACCAGGGCAAGCAGACCTTTTTAAAAGCGCCTCCCCTAGACGAGGTCGCAGATCGTGCTGGCAGAGGAGATTCGGCATCATGACTGGGAGTGCGAAGCGTTGAGCACGTGGGCCAGCACTCTCATGTGGAGCGCGATGCTTGTTCCAGGGGCGCCAACGGAAGGGGAGCTACCATCCGCGGGGCTGGGCATATTCGTTCGTGAAGGGGTCGGCTTGCATGGTCCAGAATATTTCGATGGCAGTCTCATGGCGCGAGAATCCACACTAAATACTACCATGTCGTCTGGGGGCGAACTGGTGCCGCACCGACCACAGCATGCAGTTGCTGAAGTCCCAGGCTGGCCGCCGATCAACATCTTCGGCTTGCACCTGCGCGCGGGCGAGGGGATGTCGGTCAAGAACGTGCAGATCTGCCTGAACGTCGGGTTGGCGATAGCAGAGCAGCAGTGCCCTTCCCTGACAGGAAGCGGTTGGAATATGCCAGCGGCTGAGGTTGAGGCCTCGCTCTTCACGGTGCACCCGCAGGCTTCTTTTCTCGCGCCGAAGGCGATTGCATGCAGGACGGCGCCGCCCAACGCGATCCTTGACTAATTTGCGCTCGCAGCGGGCGGTAAAAGCTGATTCGAAGCGGGCGATCGCGCCTCATAGGCCCGCGGTGTTTGTTATTTTCGTTCGGCAAGGAACTGGCTCACTTCGCTTGCGTTGGAGGCGGCGAGATCGAGCCTCGCCAGGGCCGTGGCAGCATGAGTAAATATACTCTGATGGGGCAGTTGATTTGGCGATGAACGGCGCGGCAAAGCCAGCCCGGCGTCTCCCGTCGTCGGCGCGGGCGCGTTTTGCGAGCAAGGCAGCGGCGGGACTTGCTCGCCTCATTGGGTCCAAGATCAGAACGCACTCATATAGAGGCAGTGTCTGTTCACGCTGGGTAGCGTACACATATGAAGGCAACTGCCCTGGGGGCATGCGGGTTATTGCTGACGGTCGGAAGTGGTGCGAGGACGCGCTCGCGGCGTTCGCCGGCCTTGCGCCAGGCCGAACGAAGTTGGATGCGACCAAGCCTCCAGGCGAGATCCGCAGCTTCAGTGCGGCGATCTACGCGGGGCACGGCGTCTGTCAGCGCCTGGGCGAAAGGGTTGGGCATGCGTGACGTATCCTACCAAATGCCAGCACATTGGTGGATTATCCTCGCAACCTACTGGACGAGGCAGCGGATTAAATAGGCGCGTCAAAGCAGGAAGCAGATCGGGACAACAGCTTACGATGGAAGCAATGGTGCGATGATGCGACTGAGAATGGAGATGGCCGACTACATAAGGTCACGGCGCACCGACGCGCATGGGCGCCGACGATGACCACTTGGTGGCCCCCAACAGTTCCAGTCTCACTTTCATCGAATATTGGCAGACGCAGTGGATGTTCATTTCGCATTGTTGCATTCGAAGGCCCGGCCCTCAGATCGCAGCGCGCTCCCTCGAGCACCGGCAGCTGAGATGCGTGGGGCTTCTGCGAGGTTCCCGACGCGCGCATCAGGCAGCCTCGGCGGTATCCACCCGCCCCACTACCAGCACCTCTCTGACGCGGGCCTGCAGGCATTGCGCACCGTGTGTGAAGCTAGCGAAAGGATCGGACTATGCCCAAAGCAGCGCACGCGGATGGCCACGCCGCTGTTGCCGAAGGCGACGGGCGGGAGCAGGCCGATCATGCCGCATTATTTCAGCTACAGGGTGTGGCGAAGGGCTCGGCGCAAGGATCTAGACGATTTGCGGGAGTGGTTGTCAGGCAGCATTGGGGGGGCTTCGGCCGAACGATCGGCGATGGATCGCGCATGGCTGCTAGAAGCTAAGGCTGAAGCATGCGCATCCAAGTTGAGGCACACCGCGACGATCATTGCGGACTGCAGCAAATACTTCGAGACGATCCCGCTTGAACAAGCTCGTGGTAGTCGCCAAGGTCTCCCAGCCCAGGTCAAGATGGTGTCCGGCCAATGGCGCGGACCAGGGATTACTGGGGCGCGTTATCATCGCGGGGCTTGGCCTCAGCACGCAGCGCGCGGGCCACCAGCCGGCTCCCGCGGTGGAGGAGCATGACAGGCACATTGCCCTTCATTAGTATGTCTCGATCTCGTGCTACATCGGCGACACGGCGCCGGGCATCGAGGGCGACGCCGTGGAGGAGGTCAGCGCGAAGGCAGCGTTGGCTGGGCAAGGCTTCCTTGACGGCCTCGCGGTTGCAGGCTTCCATCAGTGACAAGTTGGCGATTTTCATGTGATCGGGTGACAGCAGCAATCAGGTGGCGGAGAGACTTCTGGTCAGACTCCAGTCTGCGAAAAAGGCTACATGTCACCTCGGTACCGATTATTCGGCAGGGTGGGTGAGATCGTCTACTGGGGTCAGGCGCAAGCATCAAGCAGGGGCGGCGCGGCGTCAAACGCGCGCGCGAAATTTGGGCCAACTTCGGACAACTACCCCGACAGAAGCCAGCGCAAGGATTGCGGGGATATTCAAGACTGGGGCAGCGCCTGCTCCTACTTATGGCACGGAGGCGAACGGCTTCAGCGACGGTGGAATTGCGCGACTTCCGAACTGATGCCAGCGCCAAGGGAAACCTTATCATAGGGGAGTATCCGCATCAGCGAAGCCTGTTCTTCTTGGGGGTACTGCGGCGCGCGAGGCATCAGCCCCGGCACTTGCATTGCGTCGCGCGCATTGGATTGCAAAGCGCTGTCCTCAAGCAGCAACGGCGAGCATCGATGAGCTGATTGGATGGTGGGGCGAGGCGGTTGGCGAGCAAGGCGTCGCGACAAAGTGGAGCCAGGCACGAGGGCCTTCCGCGTGCCGCTCTCAGTGTTCAGCGCGTTGGTTGGACAATCATCTCTGGGACGGGCTGGCGCAACCATCGGTGCGATAAGGCCGGCATCGCGCCGGCGCATCCTGATGCCCGAGACCTTGCATGTGCAGGGGCCGACGCGACAGCGCGGGCTGGCATTGGGAGCGAAGTGGCATGGCACCCCGTCCACGCGCGCCACCTTTGATTTTCTCGCGCTCTTCGCTAGGACAGCCAGCAGGGAGTCCAATAAGCGCCAGAAGTCCTGCGTCATGATTTTCGCCCGCGACGGTGCACGAACGAGAGCAAGGGCGCGCCGGAGAGGCTGCATCACGGATGGCACGTGCAGGTGCGGAAGCATGGATTATATTCGTTCATGAGCTAGCGGATTGCGCTCGCCTGAAGTGGCCGCAGCAAGTGACGAGTCGGAAGTATGGCAACAGTTTCTACGAGAGGTCCGATATGCGGGAGATGATGGCCCGTTGTTTCGAGGAGCCTTTGGCTTTCATTGTGAAGGTGTACCTAGATCTTGGGCCCACAGCGTGCATCTTTGGTATTGATGGCAACGACGTGGGGCAGGAGGCTGAGGAGATGGTTCAATATGCAGTGGCGCCAGATACCCAGCATATCGATTTCGCCATCGACCGGTCCCGTGCCAAACCTGCGCTGCTGGAGCTAGAAGGGCCAGGGTGGGCGACAGCTCTCTTGGATCCAGAAGGTGACCGACATCTGCGAGTCATGTTTGCCGCTGTGCTTGCCAGCCCGCCGCAGACGTCGGCGATGGCGGAGCACCTCGCTTTAACTTATCCTTGCCAGGCAGCAGACCGACCAGCTACACTTCGCCGGCTTCAAGGGCGCGAGCAATCTGTTCGACCAGACGGGCCAGGAGTGGGTGCATGCCGCGAATAGGTACGGAGGAGTCTTCGGTTTCGCGCGCAGCCTTCCAGGGGTCAGCCACATCAAAGACGCGACGCGAAGCACATCGAGGCCCACATACCAGGTGATGAAAACAACAACCTAGACGCGGTCACCTCGAGGATCATTGATAGCAGCGAGAGGGCAGACCATTATGCCGGGCAGGGGGCGCGACGGCATCCAGCAATCACGGGAGAGCTTCAAGCGGAGATGGAATGCCATGAGCAATTATGTCGAGGGCTCTACAAGGCGATTGCGCGCGCGCTCGCATTGTCTGACGCGGAAGAACAAAGGTGGCAGAGGACCTCGACGGGCTACGGGCGGGCCAACAGCATCAGAGTGGTCATTTGGCACGACGGGGCAGAACGCTGACCTGAGATGGCAGTGCTCGCGGCGCTTGCGCCTGAGACAGCCTGGAAATGGTCAGCTCAATCGGCGCATGGGCACGCCAATCTTTCTCAAGGGTTACATGGGCGACCCACTGGGGCACGAGCTAGTTGCAATCCAGCAGGAGGGCGAGCTCAACGACGCAACGCGCAAGGCGACTGCACTCGCGCGCGTGAATCGCGGGGCCCGGGCGCAGCGCAGGCGCGAGCTCCAGCTGCGCGAGCATTGCGCATGAATGCACCAACGAACCCGCGCAAAGGCATCGGTGCCCACAAGAAGCCGGCGAAGCAGATCGACGCAATGTTTCCATTTCGTGCTCAAGAGCGACGAGCTCATCCGCCTGAGCGAGTTGTTGCCAAGGTCGCTCGGCCAGCACCTGATGGGCCCCGCAATTTCGAGAATTTGCCATCCTCCACGAGCGAATACCTGCGAAGTGCAGGCGGCGAAGCAGACGAAGGAAAGGGCCAACGCGATGCTCGGCAGCAGCGGAACACTCGACGGTAACTCCACTGACGGTGCATCTCGAGACGTGGGTCGACCACCAGCAGTGCCAGAAAGAGCTCGAACATGTCAAGATTATGCAGACATGCTCGAGGATCTGCGTTTGAGCATTTGACGTGCCAAGCGGAAGATGAAAACAATTGGCAGGAATGGTGCGAAGCTATTCTGGGTTCAATGCTCACCCGGGGCAATTTCGAGCCGCTGCGCGGGCTACTGCGAGGCTGGTTTCCGGGGCAACAGCTGGCAGGCATTTGTAGACTCGCGTCGCGGCGCGTTGGGGCAGTGGCGATGGCGGAGGGGCATGTTCATGCAGCGCCGCACGGAGGTTTATGAGGATGAGGGGCAGCGGCTTGAGCATCATTACAGACGTGAGCTATCGCTCGCGCGTGCAATGTTCAGGCAGCTACCTTGCGGTGGAACTCTTGGCCGGCTACGACATCCAATGCCCGGGCGTCCAGGCCCAGATGATAATCAGGCATGTGCGCGAGCTCAGTCCAGGGTGCTCGACAGCAAGTGGTTCGGACCTCTACCAACGGAAAGAGCAGCGAGGGCGGCCGCGGCATAGGCACTGAGACGAAGGATAACGGGCAAGCCAAGTGTTCAGCAGAGTGCGCAGCAGACTGCTGCAAGAGAAGAAGCAATGCAGGAGAAGGCCCCCGACGGGCCCAGCGCGCCCGACAGGAGGCGCGATTGGAATGTACTCGGCCCCCCGAAGATGCGCACAACAAAACTTCGTTGGCGCAGGCGACGAAGTGCAGGGGGAGGCTGGGTATTGCCCCGGGCAAGGTACACGCGAGCGCCCTGAGCGCAGCGAGAGTTATCGTCGGGGGGCCTCTCCTGCAGTCTCCCGTTCCAGGCGAGGGTTTGCGCCTGACGCGCGGCGCGAGGCGGCGCTGTGTTTTCTCTGGCCAGGCGAGGGGATAGGCCTCACACGCAGAACGAGCGGGTGCAGCTCAATCGCGCGTCTTCCCCTTCGGCCGGCGGAGTGCGTCGGGCGCGAGCGCGCGGCGACCTCGACGATGGGGGCGACATCTTCGAGCAGTTCGGCTGCGAGTAGATCGACGGCGGCGCAGCGGGCCTGTCGCCGTGCCGCTGATGACGTTGTCAGTGGGTGCAGCTATGAGTGCGTGTACTCTGACAAGCTGCAATGCGTCGGTTCCGACCTCCTGGTCTTCGAGCTCGATATCTCGCTGAGCTTCTCCAGCACTTCTGCTTAGGGGGCGCGCCTGCTGGCCTCAGCAGGCGTGTGGGAGCGCGGCCGCGGCGAGCGCCGCCGCTGCTCTCGGCCGTCGGGGCACACCCGCGCCTCCGCGGCCCGACCTACCTACCTTCTCCTCCTCCTCCTCCTCCTCCTCCTCCTCCCTCCTCCTCCTCCTCCTCTTCCTCCTCCTCCTCCTCCTCCTCCTCCTCCTCATCCCTCGACCTTCTCCTCTCCTCCCTCCTTCTGCTCTTCCCTCCTCCTCTCCTCCCTGCGCCTCCTCCATCTCCTGCCCCCCATCCCCCTTTGCCCCTGGACGAGAACTGCGCGCGTCCTCCCCCCCCACTCCTGCGGGCCCTCTGGGCCCTCCGCCCCCCCCCCGGTCGGTGGTCGCGGGTGGCAAGGTGGGCGCGTCCAATAAGAAGTCGGCTTTCCAGCAGGTGCCACGCGTCGGAGGGGAACAAGGTACCCATGCCGCTACCACTCCCTCGCGCTCACCCTTCTGCGCCTCCTGGCAGGCCTTCGTCGCCACCGCTGGATGCGCTTCGAAATTTTGGTCGAAACGCGGCCCGGGAACGAGCCAGGGAGAAGCGGTATCGGTACGCTTTGTTTCCGCAGCGTCGAAATTGACAACCCCCCGGGTCGGGGATTGCCAAAGGTTCCCCGGGTCCAAGGTGCCTCCAGTTTTTCGCTCACTCTTGGAGCGCCCGATTACCGTCGAGTAGTGTCTGGGAGTCGATGAGATAGCGCTGAACTAGCGTCAGTTGGCGCCGATCTAGCGTTTACTAACATCGATTTAACGCTGACTAGCGTCGATTCGCAAGAGCCGACAATATGGTCTAGGAGGTTCCCATGAACTGCCGCCGAATTCTTGATCTCGTTAGGGGTGCTCTGGGGGCCGTGGGGTCTCCCTTGGAAATCAAGGGGGCACGCCGAGTCAGGGGTACCTCTAGCAGCACCCGGCCTTTGGCCCCAGGGGCCCACGGACGCCATGGGGCGCCGCAGGCCCCAGCAACCTCAACGAAGGGTGCGCCCCAACGTGCCTGCTACAACGGATGGTTATCGGCCGTGTGTTGTATTTTGGGCCTTCGGCGGTCGGAGGGATCGAGGCAGTCCGGGAGGAGTTCCAGATGTGTCAGGCGGGGAACAAACACACTGACACAACTAATCGTAGGAGCATATGGGGCAATTTGTGAAGTGAGGGGTAAGACTGACATCCAGAAAACATGGAGAACCTACAATCTGGGATTTGTGCACAGTTGTTTGTGTGTCCCTGGTCCCCGTCGATGTGGTTTCGGAAGCGTTCGGGCGACGGTCAAGAGGGCGTCCACGTGCCGACCTGGCGCCGCAAAAGAGCATTGGGGGGGCCGCGGGGACGACCCACAAGGTGTCAGAAACGCCCAGTAGTCTTTGAGAAAACCCAGAGTGTCAGAACATACACACACACACACACACACACACACACACACACACACGCGCACGCACACGCACACGCACACACACACATGCACATGCACGCATGCACGCACGCACGCACACATGTATATTTTGTGTGTATATATATATACACATATGTATATACGTACATACACACATATGAAGTTATATACATACACTCATATACACAGAGTGAAAGGGAGAGACAGGAAGGGCAGAGAAAGGACGAAAGACACATCACAACCGAACGCGACGACACAGGGAGACAATGAGAGAAAGAGTGAGAGAAAGAGGAGGAACAGGGAGATGAAGAGAGAGAGAGAGAGAGAGAGCGCGTGAGAGAGAGAGAGAGAGAGAAATGAGCAGACTCTCCAAACAGTGATTGTACTTAGGGGCTCTTACACCACTTCAGCGAGGGACTTGGATGGATGCCCTGGGGTGTCGGCTGGTGCCCGGTGCGGTGCCTGGTCGTGGGCGCCCCTGCGCTGCGAGTCAAGGTTTCGGTTGGTGTCCGCCCGGCGCCCCGTTGGTGCTCTGCCGCGGGCGCCCGCACCTTGAGGTGCCAGTCGGTGCCCCGGTGGTGCCAGGTTGGTGTCTACTCTACGGCGCCCGTGGGCGCCTTGCGGGCGCGACATGGTTTCCATGCGCCATGCAGATCGCACCGCGCAGTTGCACCACGTCGCTTGCACCACATAGCTTGCACCACGTAGCGTTTGCACCGCGCAAGCTGCAGCACCTAGTCTGCACAACAGAGCTTGCACCACACAGCTCACCTATGCACGGTGCACCAAATTGTTATGTGCGGGGTGTATATACACATATGTATCTATATATATATATATATATATATACATTGGCAAGCATGTGTGCATTGTGTTCCCCAACGGATGCTTGGACTTAGGGGCTCTTACTCCTGTCACTAAGGAATGTGCTTGGCTCGTCGGTGTTTCGCCGCGTCGCCGCCCGTTACCGCCTCGTTGCCGCCCACTTGGAGGGTCGTAGAGGTATCGACGCGTCGCCGCCTGGTTGTTGCCCACTTGGGATCCGTCGAGGTTGCACCATGTCGCCGCCCGTTGCCGCCTCGTTGCCGCCCGCCCACTTGGAGGGGATTTTAAGGTTTCGCCCTGTCGCCGCCTCGCTGCCGCCTACTTGGGGGGGTGGTCGGGATTTCGCCGCGTCGCCGCCCCGTTGCCTTCCACTTGGAGGGTGCGTCGAGGTTGCGTCGCGTCGCCGCCCATTACTGTCTCGTTGCCGCCATGTGGCCGCCCATTGAGGATGCGTCACGTCGCCGCCCGTTGCCGCCTCGCTGTCGCCTCGCTTTTCGTCCACTTTTGGGGGTCCGTCGAGGTTGCGTCCACGTCGCCGCCCGTTGCCGACTCGTTGCCGCCCACCTGCGGGTCCCGTCGAGGTTGCGCCGCGTCGCCGCCCGTTGCTGCCTCGTTGACGCCTCGTCACGGCTTGCACCGCGCCGCCTGCACCCCACACGGCCGAATGTGCTCATCCGCCGCGCAGCCGTTCGCTGCTTCGGGGCCCACGCTGGCCAACAGTCACGTATTCACGAAACGCGGGTGTGCCTCGCGTGGCTTCGCTCACCGAGCCAAGTCGGCTCAAGAGGGATGTCCTCGCGGAACCTTCTCGGCGCCTCGTTTTTTTCCGCTGCGCGCTCCCGCGGCCCGCGCGCGGGCTTCCAGCCCCGCGCCCCCCCCCTGGGCCCCAGACGTGCGCCAGCCGCCGCCGCCGCCCTTCTCGTTTCTTGTTCGGCGATCCATATCGTAGCACGACGGCTGCGAGCCTTCCCGGGGGTCGGCTTTCCGTCTCCAGCAGTATCTGGGGAGCCAGGGCCCAGCACAGGGCAGGGACCCCGAGAGGCGGGACCTTGCCAACTTCTTTCTGGCGCGGGGTTGCTCACGACGCGAGTGGGGATCGGGGATCGGTGGTCACGCGTCGGCCCCCGCCCCTCTCCCGGGGCGCGCTCCCTGGCAGAATCCTGGACGGGGCCGCGCGCCGCGGGCGACAACGAGACTCCCGGGTGGGGCCCAGCAGTGCTGGCAGCCTCCCCGAGAACTTCGACCCACGAGCCTCCTCCTCCCCAGTCCACCACCTCCTCCTCCTTTTCGTCCTCGTCTTCGCCCTCCTCCTCCTCAGCCTCCTCCCCCCCCCCGCCTCACCCTCCTCTTTCACAGTTCCTCCTCCTCCTCGTTTCCTCCACCTCGTCTTCTCGCCCCGATCGACCCTGGGGCCTCGCAGCGGAATGCTGAAGGACGGCTGCGCCGTTGCCGCCTCGTTGCTGCCCTTATGTGTTTTTTTCGTCGAGGTTTGGCCGCGTCGCCGCCTCGTGGCCGCCTCGTCGCCCATCGCCGCCGCCTCGGTCCTCGAACTTGGGCCTCCCAGGTGGGGTGCGAGCAGATGGGGTCGGAGGATCGCGCCGCATCACCGATGCATCCGCGATGGCGGTGCGATGCGAAGCCCGATCTTCTCCATGCGACCCGCCACCGCGCCGACGTCACCGATGCATCGCTGATTTTGCCCATGCATCGCCCATGCATCGCCGATGTGGCTCGACCTTCCGACCCCCATCTATTCCGGCTTAGTCCCGCTCAATCTGTCTTTTCCAGTTGAATCCTGGGCTTAACGAATGTGTGCGAATCTGGCTTGACAATGGCCCCTCAATCTGGCTTGGTGGCCTCCAAGAGTTCTCATGCAGACCTCCCAGGAGTTACCTCCCAAAAGCGAAGATGTGGAAAAAGAAGGAGATAGAGGAGGGAGGACAAGCGAGGCGGAGGGATGAGGACGAGCAGGAGGAGGAGGAGGAGAAGGAGGAGGAGGATGAAGAAGGGGAGGGAGGAGGAGGAAGAGGAGGGAGGAGGATGAAGGGGAGGGAGCAGGAGGAAGGGGAGGGAGCAGGAGGAGGAGGAGGAAGAGGAGGAGGAGGGAGCAGGAGGAGGAGGAGGAGGAGGAGGATGAGGAGGAAGAAGAGGAGGGAGCATGAGGAGGAGGAGGAGGAGGAGGAGGACGAGGAGGAGGAGGAGGAGGAGGAACAGGAGGTGGAGGGAGCAGGAGGAGGAGGAAGAGGGGCACCTTTGCAGCCACCTCGGCTGCGGCCGCAGTGGGTCACCTCGGCGCGGCCGCGCGCCGGGGGCGCTGGTGCGCGCGCTCTGGGTGCGCGGGCGCGGGCCGACCGCGGCTGCCCCGAGGCCCGCGGTGGGGCAAGGAGGAGGAGGAGGAGGCGGGGGAGGAGGCGGAGGAGGAGGAGGAGGAGGAGGAGTTGGAGGAGGAGGAGGAGGAGGCGGGGAGGAGGAGGAGGAGGAGGCGGAGGCAGAGGCGGAGGAGGAGGAGGAGGAGGAGGAGGAGGAGTCTCAGAAGCAAGGCGAAGGCTGGCAAACCCGCGGCTGCTAAAACGGAGCTCTGGGTTATTGTTTGTTTTGTACCTCCGGGAAGCAGCCCGTTTACAATGCTTTGCTCTGAGTTCTATTTCGGGGATTTGTTTTCTCTTCGGGGAAGACCGTTTTAGCAGCCACGGATTTGCCAGCCCTTGCCCAGCTTCTGGGAGTCATTTAGGGAAACGACGAATGACATAGACATAAAAAACTCGGAGGTCCGCGCGGATTCCTCGGATCCGCGCTGGGGGGCCCTGGCGGCGCCTCTAGCGCCGCCCCTGGCGCGCTCCGCGCGCCAGGGAGGGGGTTTCTGCGCGGATACGAGAAATCCGCGCGTACCTCAGAGTTTGTATGTTTATGTCATTCTTCGTTCCCCTAGGGGAGGAGTCATCGAGAATCATCGAAACCCGCATCCGAATAACACGATGAAGACGTGGCCTCACCGAGGTCCCCGTCTTTGCGTTATAGGGGTATAGTAGATGTGGGCGATTTGGTCTGGCACATCTGCAGGAAAAGGCGCCCTCATCCCTAGTGTGTGTTGGCCCTCCTAGCTTATGCCCCCTCTTAAAGGGTTAGGGGCATTTTTATTTCTTACTCAAAAAGAGGGCTGCGGGGGGACTCCCTCCCTCGAGGTGGGGCAAAGTAATGTCCAGACCTGCAAGGCATGGAACATTTCTGCCTGCACGGAGTCTGTGCTGCAGTTACCAGCCTCCTTGGGCCAAAGGACCGTCAAGAACGACTCAGGATGAAAACCCGGCTCTGAGGATAGGGTCGTTCGGTGGCAAATCATGGGAGCGTGGTATTCCCTCGTGAGTCCGTCTTTGGCGTCTGTTAGCGTCGATTAGCGTCTGGAGTCGATGAGATAGCGCCGACTAAGCGTCGGTTCGCGTCGATTTAGCGTCGAATAGCGTCGATTTAGCGTCGATTAGCGTCGACCCGCAAGAGCCGACAAGATGATATGGAAGGCTCCCATGAGTTACTACTGAAGGGTCCGAACATCCTAGGACGTCGTTTTGAAATAATTATTCAGACGGGAGGACCCCACATCAGCATGCTCTCGACTAATTTGGAAATAACTCTCACCGCCTTGTTCTATATTGGTGAGGCGCGCTTACTGTCTCATCTGCGTCATTATCCTTCTCGCCCTCCCTACGTTGCCCACTCCTCTCGCTCCTGGTTTTGTCCACCAGATTCGGCCGTCGCGGACGCCGACGGGTTACCAACAGCGGCCCGGAGACAAAGAGTTACCCATGCCCCCGATTCGGACGAGGATGGGTTACCACCCCCGGCCATGACGCAAGGAACTACCCCAGCGTCCGGCTCGGCCGCCGATGGGTCACCACCGGCGGCCTTGAGACGAGGGGTCACCCTTGCCCCCGATTCAGCCAAGGATGGGTCACCACCCTGGACGCACGACCCCTGCGCCCGATTCGGCCGCCGATGGATCACCACCGGCAGCCCGGAGACCAGGGGTTACTCTTGCCCCCGATCCGGCCGAGGAGGGGTCACCACCCCTGGCCTGGCCACAGGTGGTTACCCCTGCACCCGGCAGTCGTCTCGTCGTCGTCGTCGTCAGCTCATCAGTCGCCCATGTGTCCTACGCTGCTGTGGAACCGCAGGGATTCCCCACGTTGGGTGCGCGGTCCCATGACAGTAACCAGTTCGCCGACGACCAGCTCGGCGTACAACACTCGGATTGCCAACATGAAGTGCGAGCCCCATAGGGAGGGGTGGCCCCCAGCGGAGGGCATGGCTCCGAAAGAATGGGCGAGCTTTTCAAAAGCGCGAGCTGGAGACTCCCCCGCGATCCACGCCCGGAGGAGGCTCCCGCTCGACACTTCCTCCAGATCCTAGCGTCAGGAGCCTCAGCGCGACAGCACGTGCGGGCACTGATTGGTTACAGGAGCTGCGAGACCCGTGGGGAGAGAGCTCCCGCCCTGAGACTTTCTGACTCCTTCGCGATTCGCTCTTTCGAGGCGCCCGCCTGAGATTTCCGCAAGCGTCAAGCCTGAGGGGCCGAAAAATGACTACAGGTACAGGTTTGAGGATGACCCGCTCGGATTCGAGCATGAGGCACGGGGCTCGTAGGTAGGGGTCTCCCGCCTGAGACTTCCTGGAAAGTCTCTCGCAGACAAGGCTCTCAGGCCTCAGGAGGCCAACAGTGATGACTACTACAGGAATCGAATTACCTCTTCAGATTAGTAACATGATTTGCGGGCCCCAGAGGGAGGGGGCGTCCCGCTTGCGACTCCTTTGCGATTCACCAACAGACGGGGCTCCCTCGTAATATTTCCCTATGTCAGGCCTCAGGTGCCCAGCAATGACGACAGTAATAGGAATCGAACGACCCTCTCAGATTAGTGACGTGATCTGCGGGCCCCATAGGGACTGGGCTCCCGCCAGGGATTTCTTAGCAAGTCTCTCTCAAACGGGCCCCCAGCCTGAGATTTCATCCAGATGAGCGCGTGGGTGAGTGAGTGTGTAATTGTATGCGATGGTGATGACGATGCTGACGATGGTGGCGTGATAACGATATTGCGGAGTGAGTGTCATGATGATGGTGATGGTGATGATGGTGATGGTAATGGTGATGATGTTGTTGATGTTGTTGTGTTAGTTGGTGTTGATGAAGATGATGATGATGATGATGCTGATGATGATGATGATGATGATGCCGCCGATGATGATGATTATGATGATGATGTTGATGACGATGATGCTGCCGATGATGATGATGATGATGATGATGATGATGATGATGATGTTTATGATTATGATTATGATTATGATGATGATGCTGATGATGATGCTGATGATGATTATGATGCTGCTGCTGCTGCTGCTGCTGCTGCTGCTGATGATGATGATGATGATGATGATGATGATGATGATGATGATGATGATGATGATGGGTGATAACGGAGATGGCGATGATGTTGATGTGCGAGTGTGTGTGTGTGTGAGAGAGAGAGGCGGGGGGGTGAAGTGAGGAATTTGCGGGGTGTCCAGAGAAAGCTAAACCCCACGGTGGATCTGGGGAATGACACGCCGGGCGCCAGATGTCAGGGTATCAACCACACGCCGGCGCTGGGAGCCCATCGGCGTGTTAGTCGGGCGCGTGTGGGCGAAACTTGTGTGCTATCGCAGCATTGACACGCCGAGCGGTCCACGGCGGCGTGTCATTGGTGCTGTTCTTGGTCCATGATGCCCTCCCCCCTCCCCTCCCCCCCGGCAGGAGGGAGGAAGAGGACGAGGGAGCGGATGACGAGGAGGAGGAGGAGGAGGAGGAGGAGGAGGAGGAGGAGGAGGAGGGACAGAAGGTGGCGGGAATGAGGAGAGAAGCAGGCGGTGGAGGGAGGGAATAGGGAGGGGAGGATCGAGGATCGAGGGTCGCGTTTTTTTTTGTTTGGGGGGAGGCGGATTTTTCCCCACATCCTGAGAGGGGATCTTGTTCCTCACATCCTGAGTGGGGTTCTTGTTTTCCCAGAACATCCTCTCCTTCTCCCTCCCGCCTCCCATATCCTGAGCGAGGAGGGTATCGGACACCAATACTATTTACATGGTTTCGTGCCCTTCCCACCCCTCCAGGGAGGCCCCGCCTGAGCGAGGAGGGTATCGGAAACCCATACAGTACTATTTAAATGGTTTCGTGCCCCTCCCATCCCTCCAGGGAGGCCCCGCCTGAGCGAGGAGGGTATCGGAAACCCATACTATTTACATGGTTTCGTGCCCCTCCCACCCCTCCAGGGGGGCCCCGCTTGAGCGAGGAGGGCATCGGAAACCCATACTATTTACATGGTTTCGTGCCCTTCCCACCCCTCCAGGGAGGCCCCGTCTGAGCGAGGAGGGTATCGGAAACCCATACTATTTACATGGTTTCGTGTCTCTCCCATCCCTCCAGGCAGGCCCCGCCTGAGCGAGGAGGGCATCGGACACCCATAGTATTTACATGGTTGCGTGCCCCTCCCATCCCTCCAGGGAGGCCCCGCCTGAGCGAGGAGGGCATCGGAAACCCATACTATGTACATGGTTTCCTGCCCCTCCCATCCCTCCAGGGAAGCCCCGCCTGAGCGAGGAGGGCATCGGAAACCCATACTATGTACATGGTTTCGTGCCCCTGCCACCCCTCCAGGGAGGCCCCGTCTGAGCGAGGAGGGTGTCGGAAACCCACACTGTTTAAGTGGCTTCGTGCCCATCCCACTGACATGGGTGAGGAGGAGGGGACGCCGACGAAAGGCGGCGACGCCGACGCTGCCGACGACGACTACGACACCGACCTGGCCGAAGACATAGGAGGAGGAGGAGGAGGAGGAGGAGGAGGAGGAGGAGGGGGAGGAGGAAGGACGAGGAAATCGAGACCACCCACACCAACCTCACAAATCGGACTTTGGACGCCTGGGCGACTCACCCGCCCGCGCGACCCTCCTCCTAATGTTCATACTCCTGGTCATCCTCCCGCTGCTGCTCTTCACCATCATCCATGTTATCCTCTTCCTGCTCCTCCTCCTCCTCCTCCTCCTCCAGGAGGGTATCGGAAAACAATGCAGTTTACACGGTTTCGTGTCCCCCCTCCATTCTTCCAGAGAGGCCGCGCTTGAACGAGGAGGGTCGCGGAAAACATTACTTTTCACCAGGTTTCGTAGCCCTCCCCCCTTCCAGCGGGGCCCCGCCAGAGCGAGGAGGGCATCAAGAAACCGTACTATTTACAAGGCTTCGGTTCCTGGGCACCTGTCCTCCCTCCTCCTTTCTTTCTTCTGTCCTTACGTGCGTACTCACTCGATCGATGAGTTTCTCCTTCGTGTTGATGTTGTCGTACCCCATAGGTCCCACGGAACCGTTAATATCTTTATGTGTGGACCCCCGCTAACATAACGTTCCCTGAACATCCTCTCCTTCTCCCTCCCGCCTCCCGCCTCCCATATCAGGACCACGCCTACCATTCCAGCCTCCCATATCATACCACGCCTACCACTCCATACCATACCAACCATAACCTACCATACCATACCATACCATACTATACCATACCACACGCTACCAAACAATATCATACCATAATATACCATTACATACCATACCAGGTCATACCACGCCATACCATACCATACAAACAACACACGACCGAACAATACCAAAACATACCATACCAACCATACTATATAGCATACGTTCCATATCATACCACACTATACCACACCATACCTACCATAATATATCATACCATACCTACCATACAATAACACACTTACCATACGGTACACTACCATACCACACATACCATACAATACCATACCAATCTACCCATACAATGCCCAACCATACATAACTTACCATACCAGACCCGCAAGAGCGAACAGGGTATCAGAATACCGCACTATTTACTAGATTCCGTGCCCCTCCCGCCCCTTCAGGGAGGCCCCGCCTGAGCGAGGAGTGTATCGGAAACCCGTACTATTTACAAGGTTTCGTGCCCCTCCTTGCCCTCCAAGGAGGCCCCGCCTGCGCGAGGAGGGTATTGGACACCCATACTATTTATATGGTTTCGTGCTCTTCCCACCCCTCCAGAGAGGCCCCGCTTGAGCCAGGAGGGTGCCCGAAACCCATACTATTTACATGGTTTCTGTTTCGTGCCCTTCCCACCCCTCCAGGGAGGCCCCGTCTGAGCGAGGAGGGTATCGGAAGCCAAAGCTATCTACATTGTTTCGTGCCCCGCCCACCCCTCCAGGGAGGCCCCGCCTGAGCGAGAAGGGTATCGGACTCCCATACTAGTTACATGGTTTCGTGCCCTTCCCTCCTTTCCAGGGAGGCCCCGCCTGAACGAGGAGGGTATCGGAAACCACTGTTATTTACATGGTTTCGCGCCCCTCCCACCCCTCCAGGGAGGCCCCGCCTGAGCGAGGAGGGCATCGGAACCCCATGCTATTTACATGGTTTCGTGCCCCTCCCACCCCTCCAGGGAGGCCCCGCCTGAGCGAGGAGGGTATCGGATACCCTGTACGTTGTTGAACGAGTTTGCATCGCACAGTTCCGTTTCATACCTGCTCTATAGTCTTTCTGGCTCAATGGACTTGGCCCTGCGAGGATTGCAAGCTATCGCTCCTTGGGCCCTTTTTCTTTCAGTCGCCCGCTGCCCCGACTGCCATTGCATAGCCGATTGCCAGGTCAGCAGCGATATCGTGGGTCTCCTGGGTCGAGAGCTGGAGCGCTGCGGACCAGAGCAGCTCACCTGTCCTGTGTGCCCAAGCTGTCCGCCGCTGCAGTGCCCCGAGCCGCCGTTCGCGTGGGGTATCTTCGTCGTAGGGCTGCTCGCGGGTGTGCTCTCAGCAGCGACAGCAGGCGCCGTTTGGAAGAGGACCGCACGCCCGTGGAGGTCAGGATTGGATGGCGGCCCGCAGCTTAGCAGAGCGCACGCGGCACTGCCTGCAGAGCCGTCAAGTGGGGTCGAGGGCCCTCGTTTACTACGAGCTGCGCGATGACTTCTGGCATGAAAAGATCATGCTGGCACGTGTTCAGGACTTCCGCTTCGGGGTGCTCACCGCGCCGGGGGACATCTATGGGAAGAACATGTCCCAATCGCTCCTTCGGCTGCCGCTGGGAGCTCGGGGTGGCCTTCCTGTTCGGAGGCCGCAGGGGCAGATCTCGCGGGCGGGCATCGCTCGGCTCAGCGCTGCGCTGCCATCGCTATGCAACGAGGCGGCGCCGATGGCAGCGGACATTCGTGAGGAGGATGGCTCGCCTGCACCAGCAGCACACACAGGGGCGTGCGCCGACGGCGAGGCGGAGGCACTTGCGGAGGCGCCGTCCCCTGCGGCGCTGCTGGCCGCCGCGTGGCCCGCTGGGCCAGCGGCTGGAGCCGCGGCTGGGGCTGGCGCCCTGGCGGCCGCGCCGGCCGCGTCGCCTGGGCCTCCGGCGGCAGGCCCTCTCCTTGCCCCAGCACCGCCGCGGCTCGCGGCGCCACCGGCGGACGCGGTCTGGCTTGCAGCAGGGACGCGGGGGGGCTCCACGGCGGGGACTCGCATCTCGCCTGAGCCCCTTGGAGCTGGTGGCCAGCCGCAGGTCGTGCTTGGCGATCGCGGGTACATGCTGCTGAGTTCGGGCATCTCGTTCGCGGTCGCCGTGGCCAACATCCTGGAGGCCGGGGCGGCCGCGCTGTCCGGCAGCGGTGGGGGCCTTCCCGCGCTGCCAGTGCTCTACTTGCCATCGGGCGGCCGCTCCAGGTTGCTCCATGACGCTCTGGCCAAGATGGCCACCACGCCCGTCGCGAACGGGCGCTGCAAGGGGCCGAGGACCGCGGCCGTGCTGCTCGAGAAGATCTTGGAGGCGGACTACATGCCGCGGCAGAGGCAGTGCTGGTCGAGGTCAATCCAGGGGCTCACAGCATTGGACTCGGGCATGGACGACCACCACTTCACGTTGGAGGTGCTGCAGGAGCTCACCACCGAGGACCGGCTCGACGCTTGCGAGCTCGTGGTGGTGGAGACCCGCTGCCGCCGCGACCAGCTCTGGGAGGAGCCGTATGCGTCGAGCTTGCGCGAGGGTGAGGCTGGTCAGGACGCTGCGCCCTGGCTCGATGGGCGACCCAATTTCCTCGGGCAGGGCAGGAGCCGCGGCTCGGCGCTTGTCTGCGCCGCCGGGGAGAGCTGGGTGGCGACGATGCTCCGAGGGGGATGCGCCATCCTCAAGGAGCGCAAGAAGGGGCGAGAGGGAAGGCTGCTGGAGCGCGGCGCCGACCGCGGCGCGGCCTCTGGCGAACCAGCGGCGGGTGCCAAGGCCAAGGCATACGGCCGCGGGCGCGGCCGTGGCACCTGAGGCGCCCCCTCGCGCCGAGGGGTCCCCCGACCTCGGCGCGAGTTTGCAGGGGGGGCGAGGCGTGCTGAACGGCGATGCCCCTCGCTGGGTTTTGGCGATGACGGTCTCACGCAGAGAGACGCGCTGCCTATCCCGCTCAACTCGGAGGCGCTCCAGTGCTTGAAGGGGTTCTCTGCCCTTGACGGCGAGCTCTCGCTGGGGCAGCGGCGCAAGGCCGCTCGCTGCAGGCGCCAGGAGCGCTGCATGCTGGAAGGCGTCGCGGCGCTCAACGAGCTGGGTGGTGGTGGGCGGTCGGCGGGCGGCAGCGGCCGCCTCAGCTTGGCGCAGCGCTCCGCGCTGCAGCATCTGAAGGGGGTCTACGCCGCGGCCCCGCCGAGGACTGAGGATTGCACCAACCAGGAGGCGTTTCAGGCGCTTCTGGGGCTTCGACCTGGCTATGCTGACGAGCCAGCGATCGGGGCGAGAGCCGGCTACCAGCGCGGGAGGGTCTCTCTTCCTTCTGGCGGTGCTGGGCGTGTCGATCTTGTTCGGCTGTTGCCCGCGCACCTGCAGTCGGCGCTGGAGTCTGGGCACGGGTTATTGCGCTCGGAGCAGGAGGCTACTGCTGCTCTGGAGGAGGCGGACGTCACGTGTTACGTGGACGGTAAGCTGGCGCAGCGGGGCATTGACTACGGGCGGTTCCTGCTCGAGCTCTACGATGCAGGGATCGTCGAAGTTTTGGACTACGAGCTGGAACGGAAGGAGGAGACGGGCGTCTTCTTCGTGCCACGCAAAGATGACAAGCTGAGGCTCATCTTCGACACTAGGAGGGCGAACTGCCACATCAGGACGCCCGAGTACGCGCACTTGGCCTCCGGCGACGCCCTCAGCAGCTTGGAGTGCACGCCCGGTGAGGAGGTGCACCTGGCTGCGGGCGATGTGGAGGTCTGCTTCTACCAGTGCGTGCTGCCGGCCTGGGCCAGGAACTACTTCTGCTTACCGAGCCTGGCGACCCGCATGCTGCCGGCCCGCCTGCGCGAGGCGTTGGGGCCAGAGCTGTCTGCTCGGCCCAGGATCGCCTTCCGCGTGCGGGTCGTCCCCATGGGTTGGAACTGGGCCGTCCACTTTGTGCAATCTGCCCACCTGAATGTGCTGGCCTCGGTCTCTCCGAGCAACCAGTGGCTGGTGGACAAGCAGCCTGGGGCGTGCCTCTCTGACAGCCCAGCCGCAGCCAAGGTCTTGTACATAGACAACTTTGCTGCCATTAGCACCAGCCGCGAGACAGCATTGCAGGTGGTCAACGACATGCTCGACTCGTTCACCAGTGGGGGCGTCAAGGCATCGCTTGACCTGGATGTCGCCCTCCTCGGCTTCACGCTGGACGCGAAGGCCGCCAGGTGGCGCCCCGCACCCAAGAAGTTTTGGAGAGTGCATGGTTGTATCTCGCACCTGCTGGAGCCGGGAAGACGTGTCACGGGGCGCCAGCTGGAGAGGCTCGCGGGTCACGTGGTTGCGCTGCTGCTGCTGCGCCGTGAGGCGCTCAGCCTCCTCGGCGCAGTCTACGTCTTCATCCGCTCCACCTGCGACAGGGCGCAGCCGCTGTGGCCCAGCTGCCGACGCGAGCTCAGGTGGGCGCTCGCACTGTTGCCCACGGTGTTCGCCGATATGAAGAGGCCCTGGCACGCTGAGGCGGGTGCCTTCGACGCGTCGCCGTGGGGCGCGGGAGTCTGCACTGCGCACTGGCCCTTGAGCGCAGTGCAGGCCGCTGGCAGGCAGCCGGAGAAGCTGCGCTTTCGCGGGCCCCTCGCCTCACTGGTGGCCCCGCGGGGCGCTGCCCTGGCTGCCGACAGCATCGAGCTCTCGGACCCAGCCGCACTCTTACTTGGGCGTGCGGCAGGTTTCGCCGAGGTGAGCTCTGAGCTGCTGCGTGAAGCGACCTGGGTCACGGCTGTTGCATGCAAGTGGAGGCGCCAAAGTACCATCCACAGGCTAGAAAGCTCAGCAGGGCTTCTCTGGCTGCGGCGCGCCTCTCGCAATTCGAGATGCCACGGGCATCGTCTTCTGGGCTTGGGTGACAACATGTCGATGATCTGCGCCCATGAAAAGGGTCGTGCGTCCGACTTTGGTCTCTTGTCTGGCTGCCGCTGCTCCTTTGCCATATCAGTCGCCTGCAACCTCAAGGTCACGTTCAGATGGATCCCCTCAGAGCTCAACCCTGCAGATGGCCCTTCGAGACGTTTCCAGTCTGGGACGGAGCCGTCTTGGCCCAAGCACAAAGACCAGTTCAGGCGTCACAACGGCAGTGGCCATGCAGGAGGTCCGCACGCTCCAGGCTGCTCCGCCGGCCGGCCAGCCGAGCCTGCCAGAGGTGGGAGGCGCTTCGCCGACCCCGAAGCGAGCCGCTGGTGGTGGCGGATCCGCAAGGAGCAGAGCGCAGCCACCGCCGCTTTCCGCCCCGGAACAGGCCCGCTAGCTGCCCCGCCAGGGCTTGCTGGCAGCCAACGTGGTGCAGCCGTCCACTCTGGTGCTCTACCTGAAGGTGTTGCTGCTGCTGGCAGGGTGGCTCATGGTGGACGTGCTGCCCGACTGGCCCGTGGCGGCTTGGGACGCAGCGCTGAACGACCTCCTGCGGTGGGCCTTCGACCTGAAGGTGGCGCGGGCGACAACTGCAAAGCTTGGCGTCGCGGTGCTTGGAGGTCCCCCTCAGCTGCACTTGGCGCCCTTGCAGAGGTGCTTCCCGCAGCTCGCCCAATCGCTGCCAAGTTGGAAGCGCCTGCGCATGTCATTAGTGGTGCCGGCTACAAAGTGGCAGCAGCCAGGCAAGACGGGCGAGCTGGACCACACCGTTGTGCGGGTCTCCCCGCGGCAGCAGGCCCTGGCTTGGGCCTTGGTGCGCCTCCGCGACCCCCGCCTGGGCTTCTGGCACCCGCTGTGGGACTTCGTCTACAGCCTCTTCCTGCGGCGGTTTGGCCAGGTGCTCGAGGCTGTGCGAGCCAGCTGTTTAGCAGGCACGCTTTGCAGCCTCAGGCACGGCGGCGACATCCTCGACCGCCTGACGGCCAGCCGCACGCTAATGGAGAAGCTGCAGCTCGGAAACTGGCACGCCTCCAACAGCGTGCAGCGCTACGACAAGCACGCGTGAGTGGCGATCGAGAAGATAACGATTCCAGCCCACCAGCGGCTGGAGTGCGAACATTTGGCCGCTGGATTCGACGCCGCCTGCAAGCAGTACTCTCTTCAGCTGTGATGAGCAGCAGGGGACGTGATTCCCGCATTTTCATTGACCTTTTCAGTGGCTCCGGCAACCTTGCGCGGCACTTGCGACAGGCTGGGCATGCTGTTATTGAGTGGGATGTCCTTCACGGGCAAGAGTTTGATCTTGCCCAGCCTGCGCCTTGGGCCGCGCTTCGCGGCTGGATCGCCAGCGGCAAAGTCAAGGCCATTTTTATGGGCACGCCGTGCGAGTCGCTCTCGCAAGCGCGACGAGGCGGCCCTGCATCTCGCATGCCTCGACGCCTTCGTGACAGCGCACACATCTTTGGCTTGCCGGGCTTAGCTGCAGCCGATCAGGCCAAGCTTGAGCTTGGCAACCTGCTTGCCTCCCGCGCGGGGCAGATCTGGCAGCTAGCAGCAAAGTTTGGCATCCCTATCGGTGAAGAGAACCCTGGTAGCAGTTGGCTTTGGCATTTTCCTGACAGAGCACGTCGCCATCACTCTCCTTTTTTCTCTGAAGCAGTTGTTGATCAATGTGCTGCTGGTCGTCCCTTTCGTTCGCGCACTAGGCTCCAATTTCTGCATTGCCGCCCCTCTCCTTCTCTTCTGGCTATGAAGTGTCATGGCCGCGGCGTGTGTGTTTTTTTTTTCAGGACAGCCCCATCTCGAGCTGTCTGGGAAGGAGAGCGGTGCCACCCACTTTCGCACTCAGCAAAAGTCCGCCTATCCCGACGCTCTTTGTAAGCAGCTTGCTCGAATGTTCTCGCAAACAATTGTCGCCAAGGTGGTTTCTAGAAAATGGATGTTGCTTCACGGCTAGGCCAGTGCAATGCTTGTTGATGGTTGTAGATGGGCCGTTGTCGCCTGCCAAAGCTGCCCTGTGCCAGGCTCCGTTCCTCAAGCAGATACTGGAAAAAAGATGATGCATGTACGTTGTTGAACGAGTTTGCATCGCACAGTTCCGTTTCATACCTGCTCTATAGTCTTTCTGGCTCCCAACGCCAGCCCGTCGCCTCCAGACGTCTTTATTGCCGCAGGCCGTTGTCGCCTGCCAAAGCTGCCCTGTGCCAGGCTCCGTTCCTCAAGCAGATACTGGAAAAAAGATGATGCAATACTATTTACATGGTTTCGTGCCCTTCCCACCTCTCCAGGGAGGCCCCGCCTGAGCGAGGGTATCGGCAACTCGTACTTTTTACATGGTTTCGTGCCCCTCCCACCCCTCCAGGGAGGCCCCGTCTGAGCTAGGAGGGTATCGGAAATCAATACTGTTTACATGGTTCCGTGCCCCTTTCCCATCCCCCCAGGAAGGCCCCGCCTGAGCGAGGAAGGTATCGGAAACCAATGCTATTAACAATGTTTCCTGCCCCTCCCACCCCTCCAGGGAGGCCACGCCTGAGCGAGGAGGGCGGTTTCCTGCCTTTCCCACCTCTCCAGGGAAGCCCCGCCTGAGCGAAGAGGGTGTCGGAAACCCATACTATTTACATGGTTTCGTGCCCTTCCCGCCCCTCCAGGGAGGCCCCGCCTGAGCGAGAAGGGTATCGGACACCCATGCTATTTACATGGTTTCGTGCCCCTCCCACCCCTCCAGGGAAGCCCCGTGTGAGCGAGGAGGCTGTCGGAAACCCATCGTATTTACATGGTTTCGTGCCCTTCCAACCCCTCCAGGGAGGCCCCGTCTGAGCGAGGAGGGGATCGGACACCCGGACTATTTACATGGTTTCGTGCCTTTTCCACCCCTCCAGTGGGGCCCCGCCTGAGCGAGGATGGTATCGGAAACCCATACTATCTTCATGGTTTCGTGCTCCTCCCACCCGTCCAGGGAGGTTCCGCCTGAGCGAGGAGAGCCGCGGAACCGCATATTATTTACATGGTTTCGTGTGTTTTCCCATCCCTCCAGGGAGGCTCCGCTTGAGCGAGGACGGTATCGGAAACCCATACTGTTTACATGGTTTCGTGCCCTTCCCACCTCTCCAGAGAGGCCCCGCCTGAGCGAGGAGGGTATCGGAAACCCATGCTATTTACATGGTGTCGTGCAATTCCCATCCCTCCAGGGAGGCCCCGCCTGAGCGAGGAGGGTATCGGAAACCCATGCTATTTACATGGTTTCGTGCCCCTCCCACCCCTCCAATGAGGCCTTGTGTGAGCGAGGCGGGTATCGGAAACGCGCACTATTGAAATGGTTTCGTGCCCCTCCCACTGAAATGGGTGAGGAGGAGGGGAGAACATTACCTATCCATTTCACGTCCTACTCCTCCCATTGAGGAGGGTGAGGTGGAGGGGGAGTTCTGCGATGAGGAAGGCTTCATCATGATGATGGTGATGACGATGGTCATGCTGCTGTTCGGAGGAGGGGGAGGAGAAAAGAGAGGTAGAGGAAGAAGAAGCAGAGGAAGAGAAGGGGGAGGTGGAGGAGGAGGAGGGGCACATGCGTGCCAAGTCGATGGTAATCCATACTTCAAGGCCCGCCTTTTAGGGCCCGCCTGAGAAAGACGGCGACGCCGACGCTGCCGACGACGACTACGACACCGACGAGGGCGAAGACAGAGAAGGAGGAGGAGGAGGAGGGGGAGGAGGAGGAAGGACGAGGAAAAAGAGACCACCCACACCAACCTCACGAGTCGAACCTTGGACGCCTGGGCGATTCACCCGCCCGCCCGACCCTCCTCATTCTCATGTTCATACTCCTGGTCATCCTCCCGCTGCTGCTCCTGCTGCGGTTCCTGCTGCTGCTCTTCCCATCATCCATCTGATCTTCTTCCTCCTCCTCCTCCAGGAAGGTATCGGAAAACAGTGCAGTTTAACGGGTTTCGTGTCCCCCCTTCCACTCTTCCAGAGACGCCGCGCTTGAACGAGGAACAAGGTGAGAACGCCAAAATCATGAAGTTCCCAAGGAACATCAGTACGATTTGCTCCCTGGGGCCCTCTTGAGAGGGGCGTCTTGGGCGCCTCTTGGGCCCGTCTTGGGGTCGTCTTGGGCCCGAACAAATCATGCGTCAAGCCGCGAAGGAATCCAGAGGGCACGCGACAAACCCCAGGAGATGTTGCAAGTCCGGCTCCGGGCACCGTCGAGACTCCTCAGGACTGAGGACTGATGTTCCGAGTGATTTCGCAAAAGGCTCTGAGGACACGTCCACTCCTTGCCCTGAGGCGCCGTGGAGGAGATGTATACGTATACATCATTGGGTATACATGTGTCTAAACCAAACCTTACATGTGTACATGCATACTCACACATTCACACATCGATGTGTGTATACATGCGTGTATGCATGTGTGTTTGCAAGTGTGTATGCATGTTTGTGTGTATTTGGACGGATGCATGTATGTGAGTATGCATTGGTGTATGTGTGTATGCATGTATGCATGTGTGCATGTATGCATGTCTGCATACATGCGTGTATAATTGTATGTGTGTATGCATTAACGCATGTCTAAGTGTAGCAATGAATGTACACATGAGTATATGCATGCATACATGCTTGCAGCCTCGCTTGTATGTGTGTGCATGTATGCACGTACACAGTCATGTGTGCATGTGTGTATGTGCGCATATAGGGATGTAGTCATAGCTGTATGTTTTTGCATCTACGTATGCATATGTAGGTATATATATGTATATATATATATATATATCTAAAACTCAGCAGATGTATGTACACATGTATGAATGCATGTCTGTATTTGCACGCATGCATGCATATGTAGACGTATGATTGTCTGCATGTATGTATGCATATATGCATGCATGTGTGTATGTAGGTGCGTGTACGTGTGAACATGTAGGCATGTGTGTATATACGTACGTATGTCGGTATGTATGTATGTATGTATGTATGTATGTATGTATGTATGTATGTATGTATGTATGTGTGTATGCATGGGTGTATTGTGTGTAGGCATGTGTGTACGCAGGTAGGTATGCATGCAGATGTGCGCATGTGTGGTTGTATGCAGGTGTGCATGCATGCATGCATGTATGTGTGTGCGTATGCATGCATGCATGTATGTATGGATGTGTGTGTGTCTCTGTGTGTACGTATGTATGTATGTACTCAAGCAGACATGCACGCATGGACGTCTGGAGAGATGCATGCACGTATTTATGTATGCATGCATGTGTGCATGTGTGCATGTATGCATGCATGTTTGCATGCCGTGGAATGTTCGTAATGAACGGCTGACGAGATGAATGTATGGGTGAATGTATGTATGTAGAAATGCACGCATATATACATATAGATATATGTATGTATATATATGTATGTATTTATTTATATGTATGCGTGACTTGATGTATGTATGCATGTGTGAATGTATGTATGTTTGTAAGTATGTGTGCATGTAGGCATGTATGTATGTGTGTATGCATGCACGCACTTCTGCATGTATGCAGGTATGTAGGTATGTACACACGCATGCATGCAGTCATGTATGCATGCATGTATGCATGAATCCATGTATGTATGTATGTGTTTGTGCATGCATGTATACATGTATGTACGAGTATATGTGAGCACGTGAACCCATCAACATTCTATATCTACCTATATGCATCGATGCATGTTCATGTATGTACATACATGTATACGTGTATATCGTATGAGGATAGCGGGCAGCGGGGACCGAGTGAGGGAGGAATGGCGTAAAGGGAGGGAAGGAGGCAAGGCGATAGGACATGCGCAAACGAGCGTGCCCAGAACAACAGAGCTATAAAAAAGCCTTGGGCGTAGGATGCACTAGGACTTGGACACCCTCTCATCATTTGCTTCCTCGTCTGTCCCCTCCTCGACCTCAGTCCCTCCTCGAGCTCAGTCCCTCAGTCCCTCCTCGAGCTCATTCCCTCCTCGAGCTCAGTTCCTCAGTCCCTCCTCGAGCTCAGTCCCTCTCATCATTTGCTTCCTCGTCCATCCCCTCCTCGAGCTCAGTCCCTGTATGCCAGTATTTGAAAACGCTATTCCCTCTCACGCTTCTTTCCTTGTCCGGTGCGGGAGCCACCTCTCCCGTGCCGGATTGTTCTCCCACAGGATCCAGCTTTGGTGTCCCGCGCACCGCTTTACTTGCAAAATTTGTCCCCTCCTCTTCCTCCTCCTCCTCCTCCTCCTCCTTCTCCTTTGCTCTCGCCCCGGCTTGTGCAATGATCTTGCGGCGCTACCTGCGCGTGGTGACCAGTTTTAGACCGAGTCGCGAGGGTGGCTCATGCGAAACCTAAGTTCGGGTGCTCCGGGTTTCCGGCTGGTGCCCTGTTGGTAGCTTCCCTTTGCCGCCACGCGCGCAGCTTGCACCACGTCCCCGTTGAACCACAGCGTTTTTCCAATTCACAGCGCAATGACTTAAGGTGTGGGGTCCACACTTGCAACCATGCCATTGTCTAGCTGGTCGATCGGCCCGTCTTCGGCGTTGCGCTTCCTATGGGAATTCTCGCTTCGCTTTGTCTTCGGCCGTCCCGATGGGGCGCTCTCGCCTCGGCGATTGTGCCGCACTCCTGGCCCCGGGCCCCTCTTACTTACCAGTACTCGATGTGCAGGCCTTCTCCCCCCTCCCCCTTTCTCCCGTCCAGTGCGAGGGCCGCTTCTCCCGCGGGCGCGGCTGCGCCGCCGCCTCCAGTTGGCGTTTCTGCGGACCTGCGCGGGGTGCTTGCGGCGGCCGTCGGTGTCGTTGCCCGGCTTGAGTGGCCCGTGCTTTTTGGTTTGGCTGGGATTTACCCTTCCTTGCCCCTCTCTGCGCCCAGTCTCCTCCCTCTCCCCTGCCCTCCCTTTCCCCCCCCCCCCCTGTCATTTTTTCTCCCTGTTCCCTCCCCCCTTGCCCGCTCCTCCGCTTCTCCCGTCCCCACCGCTCTAAATCCCCCCACCCTCCACGCATTTTCTCACTTCCGTTTCTCTCCCCCTGATCCGCCCCCACCTCCCTCCCCACAAGTCCTCTCCCTCCCTCCCTCCGTCCTCTCTTCTCTCTTGTCCTCCCCGCTGCACCCCCTCTCATCTTGTTTCCCTCCTCCCTCCCACCTGGACTTTGGTCGGGCATGTCACCCGACAGGCGGATACCAGATGAACCATACAAATTGCCCAACAAAGATTCAAACATCATCAACAGTAGTCCAAACATCGTACCCAGACTATTTTGAACTATTTTTGAAAATTCCCAGTAGAGGGACATGACCGACTTAAACCTGGCCTTCTCCCACGTCCAATCCCCCACCTCCCGGTGTTCCTGCCCCCTCTCTTTCGCTCTCTCTCCCTGGGGGAAGGGGGGGGCGCGCACGGATGCTGAAGAGGAAAAGGATGCTAATGGTGATGGCGGGAAGGTGATGAGTGAGGAGGATGAGCCAGAGGTGAGGCCAGAGGTGAGGAGAGGATGGGAGGGGGAGCGGCAGGAGGAGGAGGAGGAGGAGGAGGAGGAGGAGGAGAGGAGGAAGAGGATCAGGACCAGGAGCAGGACCAGGAGGAGGAGGAGGAGGAGGAGGAGGAGGAGGAGGAGGAGGAGGGGCGTGGCTGAGGATTGAGAGGAGGAGGAGTGGAGGTAGGGGGTGAAAGAGGTCGACGACAGGAGGAGGAGGAGGAGGAGGAGGAGGAGGCGGAGGAGGCGGTGGAGGAGGAGGAAGAGGAGGAGAAGGAGCTGGAGCGGGAGGAAGAGCAGGAGCAGGAGCAGGATCAGGAGCAGGAGGAGCACGAGTAGGAGGAGGAGGGGGAGGGGAGGTGGACTGAGAAAGAGGAGGCACGAGCAGTGAGGACAAGGACGAGGGATGAGGATGAGGAAGGGAGGAAGAGGGGGCCTACCGGAAGAGTGTGACGAAGGGGCGGAAGAGGATGACGACGACGATGGCGGCGACGGCGTGGCGCTGATCAGGTTGGCCGTCTTTGTGGATTCCCAAACAGGGTCGCCGGTGGGGGCACGATGGCCTGCTAGGGGGCCGTCCACGCGCTCTTCCCCGGGGACGTCGCGGCCCCCGGCGCTTCAGCCTTCCTCTGCGGCATGTTCGCATCGTGTCTCCACGCGGCGGTCACCCCGCCGCAGGCTTTCGAAGGCGGAGCGCCGCCACAGATCCAGAGTCGCCCGATGTGGGAAGATCTGGAGATCAAAGGTCGCCGATGGTTCCATGCTGAACGATCCACGCGGTGTCAGCAACCAGCGCCAGGGATGTCACGATTCGAACCTGCCGTGCCCCGCGAATCAGGAGGAGGAGGAGGAACAGCAGGAGAGGCAGGAGCGGCAGGAGAGGAGGACGAGGAGGGAGGAGGAGGTGGAGGAGGAGGAGGAGGAGGAGGAGGAGGAGGAGGAGGATGAGGAGAGGGAGGGAGGAGAGGGAGGAGGAGGAGAGGAGAGGAGTGAGGAGGAGGAGGAGGAGGAGGAGGAGGAGGAGGAGGAGGAGGAGGAGGAGGAGGAGGAGGAGGAGGAGGAGGAGGAATAGGAGGAGGAGGAGGAGGACGGGAGGCGGAGCGATGATGATTTTTTGGGGGCCTCTTCGGGCGGCATCGTCGCCACGGTGGGATCCGCCTCGGAGTTCGGGTAGGATTAAGTCGGGCCTGTCCCTCTACAGGGGGGAAATTCAAACCTAGTCCAAAAATAGTCTGGGGACAATATTTTGAGCATGTTGAAGCATATTTTGCATTTTCTAACTATTTTGTCAGAGTGAGGGGGCTGAACCGAACGGTCATTCACTGTGCCTTGGTGCGTGGCTGAAGTGGAAGTCCGCGATGCGGACTCGTGTTGTTGTTGTTGTTGTTGTTGTTGTTGTTGTTGCTGAATTCTTACTTCTGAAGAATAATTCTTGTTGATCCCCCCAACCGGTGCATATTGTTTTTTTCAATCAAAGTGTGCGCCTCGACGCTCGCGCCCTGTTTTTTGAAAGGGAGAGTCTTCCTGCTCAAACTGGGCCCCTGGTCCCCGGGTTACAACAACAACGGCTCCCGCCTGAGATTTCCTTAGAATTTAGCCAGGACCCCCGCTCCCGCCCGAGATTTCCTTGCATTTTATACAGGAATCGCGGTCTCGTTTGGGACTTCCTTTCAATTTATTCAGGAATCGCTCTCCCGGCGCTCTGGACTCTGGAATCGCGCTCTCGCTGGAGACTTGCTTGCAACTTACTGAAGAATGGCCTTGCGTTGGAATTTCTTGCAATTTGCCCAAGCGCCGCGCTCCCGCCACCCAGGCACCCAGGAGTCGCGCCTCTGTGGCCCCATGTGCATGCCCTTCGTGGCCCCGCTGTCGCCATTTGTGTCCCCCTCACTGTCCTACGTGGCCTAGTTGCTACCCTCCGTGGCCCCATAGTTGCCTTCTGTGGCCCCGCATTATCTGCGTTTCGTGGCCCCCGCTCGTTCGCGCTCTTCGTGGCCCCATACGCATTCCCTTCGTGTCCCCGTTGTCGCCCTTCGTGGCCTACTTCGTGCCCTTCGTGGCCCTGCTGTCGTTCTCTCTCGCTCTCGCTTTCGCTCGTCGTCGCCGTCGTCGTCGTCGCCGTCGTCGTCGTCGTCGTCGTCGTCGTCGTGGTCGGTTCCCTGTCCGTCCCTCTTGGGGTCGGGTCGACGGTCCGCGGCCGCCCCGCCGATCAGCGCTGCCGCTGGCCAGGTCGACGGTCCGCGGCCGCCACGCCGCTTGCCGGGGCCCGGCCTGCAGGGAAGAAAGCTATACCCCCAAAAGGGGTTCGATCGAAGACGAAGAGGGCGGGTATCGAGGGTTTGGGAAATACGCGTTATTGTACACTCGAGCATATAAGGGCGAACAGTCTTAAAACTATTGTTGTTGTTGAACATTATTTATTCTAAAGAATAATTATTGTTGGGCCCCCTGGTGCGCGCCCCCCCTGCGCCGCCTAGGCCGCAGCTACATTTTCATCATTTTCGTGAGGAAGCCTCAGGTAAAACGATGTGATCAGATCCGGTTGTTTTGTTGTAATCCGCTTTCCCTTGCAAAAAACAATAGAAAATGACATTTCTTGTTCTAAATATAGACGAAATGACACGAAGTGCACACTCGCGCGCGCAAGATGAAATCCTTCCAAAACCTTAGTTTTCGTAGCGATTTTATCATAAAAAAACATGAAAAACCCAATGGTTTTTCAAAAAAAAAGTTTCAAAAAATCATCTTGCGCGCTCTTGCGGATTTCTGAGGAAACCCAATATTTTTCAACATTTCTGTCAAACGGGCTCTTGCGAGCAACTTTTTCACGTGCTTCGAACTTCTGCAACAACGGTTGCGCACCTGCCAGGGCCATCATCCCTGTCAAAGAATACCATGCGGGACACATTCGTTTTTTCTTCGCGCGCGCACGCCGTCGTCGTCGGCCGCGGGGCCCTGAATAGTAGCCACGGTCGTCCGCATGCACGAAGTGAAGTGTCCGAACGTCATAGGGCGGGAAGCTGGGTGTGGGTGGTGGCGAAGAGTCGTGTGGATATTTGGTAGAGCTTGCACTGCCCCCCCACAAAGTGGGGGTATTGGCTGGCGTCGCATGAAAAACCCTGGCACTGGTGAGAACGGAGTGTCCCCACGTGCTAGTAATTGTTGTTGTTGTTGTTGATACTTTTGTATTTTTTATA